AGGGCCAGAGTGCAGCACAGAGGGTCACAGGGACGTGGCCCTCAGTGCCATCACCCATCCTGCTGCTGTTGTGACGCCGTTGTTGTTCCTCTCCTCCCAGCCGTGGACCTGCTGAAGCACAAGATGATCTTCAGTGTGGTGCGGCTGGGGGCCACCATCATCATCTGCATCGGCTTCCTGCTGATGCTGCTGCCCGAGGAGTGGGACGAGATCACCCTGAGGTTCATCAACAGCCTGAAGGAGAAGAAGAGCGAGGATCACTCCGAGGACATGACGGAATCCAGCGTCCACACGAGGAGCAGGAGCAGAGCCAACGGGACGGTGTCCATCCCGCTGGCGTAGGGCTGGAGGAGCGTCCCTGCACGCAGATGTGTATTCTGTGAATATAGCTTAACTTTCCTCACCACCTGTATGCTTCAAAAAATGTCATCTAACCTGAGCAGGGGATGAACTGTAAGATAAGAGAAGTACATCTATAATAAATGTTTACGTTTATACACTTAACAAGGAACGGGTGTAAATAACTACAATAAAATCTTTTGTAATAAATGTTTTAAGCTTGTGTCTTTCTGAGCTGGTGAGTTTAAAATGTGGATCAAGTTTGCATCGTTTATCTCTCTCTCTGCTGGCAGAAGTAGAGCCATTTTGGAGGATACAAATCTTGGATATTTCCAGTTAAATCTCAGAATTTGACATCTTGACTTACTTTCAATGAAGTGCCCTTTCAGCGGGGTAGCAGTTTTGGAAAAGCATTTCAAACCTCTCCTGGAGTTCTGAAGAATCCATTTCTGAAATGTTAGCACTGATATTCCCAATTATTATCAGAGTAAATATTCCATGGTGTGCAGAACATCAGGCCTCTCCTCCCAGGCCACGCTGAGCTGTGCCTCTTTCCAACACCACCTTTCTAGAAGTGGTGCTGGAATTTGGGTGCCTTGAGTAAAGCAAAAAAATAACTTTATTTACCTCATTTTCTCCCAGGAAAGCTGCACTCCCAAGTTTCAGGAGAGATGGAACACCCTGGATCGCTGCTGTCCCTGGGAAATGCCATTTTCTATTTTCCAGAGCGTTGGGACAAACAAATATTTTTCTTAACCTCTACTGTGGAAAAGTCTTTCAAACGCCAGATGAAACCAACCAACCTCCCAGTCCCTTCCCTAAGGCTGTTGCTGTATAATTTGGGCTGTTTTACAGCACTCCTGGGATTGACTACTCAAAATGTCTTTATTTGAGAGCACTTGGTAGGCAGACAAACATTTTTTCCCTGTTTTTTTGTTTTGTTTTGTTTTGTTTTTGGTTGGTTGTTTGTTTTTTGTTTGGGTTTTTTGTTTGTTTTTAAAGGAAGAATAAAACCAGCTGGAAAGTATCATAGATTACTGAGCTCTGTTGACCTTCCTGCCCAGTTTGTGAGTTTGATTAACAGCAAGTAAGGGTGTTTTGATGTTATTTCTACCAGGAGGAAAAAAAAATAATGTAAATTATAAATTATTTAAGTCTTTATTTGACTCTTCTATTGGATGTTTTTTTAATATTTTAATATTCATGTCTAAACTGTTCCTTGAAGCCAGCAGAGCAGAAAAAATACTTGTGTGTATTAAAAAAACTCACAAACTTGGGCTCTTTCATCAAATAGCTGCAGAATTAAGGCTGCAAAAACCAACCCAGCCATCTCCTGTGCCCTAAACCCAGAGGTGTAAGGTTGGCATACACACTCAAGCCTCTTACAGCTCCTGCTCTGCTGCTTTTGAGAGGAGATAGACAAAAAATATTCCAAAAAAGTTAATTACAAAGATGCTGATGGGCTGAAAGCACCCAGCACACGGCAGCTTGGCCTCTCCCCACACTTTTGGAGCTGATACATTTATTTACGTTGTTAGATAGTTTTGGGGATGTGTTTTACTGAAATTTCAGCTCCTGCCAAACTGAACACATGGGGAAAACAAAACTTTGAGTATGTATTGATGAGTACTTTTTGGCAAGCAGCCTCGTGGCAGCATCTTCAGGCCTGGGAGTGGATCCTTTAAGGAAGCTCATTGAGAATTCTGTGTAAAATCCCATTGTTTGAGTCAGCTTTCCCCTGCTTGACACATCCCACGGCCAGGGGCACAGGGTGTTGAGAAGACTGTAATCCCAACCAGGAAGGCTTGAGCAGAGCACCCCTGCTTTGGTTTGGTGTTCATGGAATGATCCAGGTTGGAATTGGGTATTAAAGATCCTCCAGTTCCACCCCCTGCCATGGCCAGGGGCACCTTCCACTATCCCAGGCTGCTCCAAGCCCTGTCCAGCCTGGCCTTGAACACTTCCAGGGACCCAGGGACAGCCAGAGCTGCTCTGGGCACTCTGCTCCCAGATGTTTTCCAGCGATGCCTTAATCCCCCTCCTTCACCTCTGCCCAACCTCCAGTTCCAACTCCTCATTAAGCATGGGAATAATGATTTTCCCTGGAGTGCAGCTCAGCCTTCCAGCTGGAGAAGAACCCACCAAACCCAAGGAACCACAAACAGAGGCTCTTGGGGCTGATGCTGCTGGTGACCCACCAGAGGAGCAGCAAACCAAAAACCATCCCCATCAAGTGACCGACAGGACATCGCCACTTCCACCACCACTGCCACTTCTGGCAGCCCCCTCTGCCCTCCCCAGCAAGCCACAAACCCCCAGTGGGGTTTCATTTCTCTGGCAGCCCCCTCTGCCCTCCCCAGCAGTGTGAGGCTGCATTTCTGTGGCACCCAAGGAAAATGCCACTTTTGATCCGGCAGCTGCTTTATCAGATTCTCCTTATGGCTGGAAGGAAAACAAAACGTGCTGGGAATAACCCTCCTGGAGCATCCCCAGCAGAGGCTGGAGGGCTCTCTGGAGGACTCAGTGAGGCAGCAGCAGCACAGGCAGCGTTATCAGCACCACGGTGTCCCCAGCCTGGGCTGAGAGAAGATGAATGTCCCCTGCCAATAGCAGCGACAAGGAGCAGAGGGAGGAAGGAGCCGTGTTTCTTGACCTTACAGATGTGTAATAACAAGCTCTATCAGCCACAGCAGTTTGTATCCCAGCCAGGGGAGCCTTGCTGGGTTATTTTCCTCCCTTTGCTGATCCATTTGTTCACGCTGTCGCTGCCTGAACGTGCTGCAAGCAGGATAAACAACAGCCTGCTCGCATCGCTGGGGTTCTTTCTGCTTTACTCACTGGGGATTTGCATAAAAGCCCAGGCGTTACTTTGGCAAAAATCCATCCCACCCACTTTCCATCTCCTCCTTTGCCCACATTTTTTTTATTTTTTTTATTTTATTTTTGTGATTTAAAATTCATTTTTGAGGAGAAGCTTTAAGGCAGAGAAGCTTTAAGGCTTTAAGATCTGCTGCTGCAGTTGGGTGTTTGAGTGGTGCCCCTCATTCACCTTTGCCCCTCTGTGTGCAAATGTCCTGCTCCAAGTCATGGCACTGCCCTCCCCTTGAGCTTTTCCCAGTATCTTTTATTTTCCCAACATCAGAGCACTTAGGAGTCAATGATTTTTTTTTGACTGCGATAAATCTGCTGAAAAATCCAATTCTAGAGGGATCACCATCCCCTCACAGGTTGCTGAATTTAGTGGAGAGTTTAAAGTAGTAAATGAAATGAGAGAAAGGGATAAAACTCTTCCAGCTCTCCTGGGAGGGACTGTGGGCTGTCCCTGAGGGCACTGTATGGGCCCAAAGCTCCTCCAGCCCCATGTTTCTACAGCACAGTACTCAGGAATTTCACTGACCTTTACATATAGACAAAATAAAATAACATTATTGCATTAAATAACTCCCAGTTAAAGAGAAGGATGAGCATCTCTGACCAGGATCTCAGCTTGCCTCAGTGACCTGCAGCAAGGGCATCCTCCTGCAGCCTCCCCCCACCCCAAACCTTCAGCTGCTGCCCTTGGCCCTCTTTGCTTTGCAGAGTGAAACTCTGGGAGAAGGAAACATGGACAGGACCTCTCCTGGGGTTGGGGAGTGTGGGGAGCAGGGGGACCCTGCCAGGACTTTGGCAGTGCCTGGGTAAAACACCAGATAAAACATGAGCATTCACATGGGTTTCTGCTGCTCCCACACATCCATCATTGCATTTAATTCATGATTTCCCCAAGCTGCTTAACAGGAATGACCTGTTCTCAGCAGGGGAAGGGTAATTAAAATAAAAAGGAAAAATAGTAAGCATTGAGAAACTCAGGAGGGAAGCAGGGTGTTGATTTTACATTTTCATTTGAAAAGAAGAAGGAAAAAAAATTACAGGCCAGGTTGCTCTGCTCCCTCATGCCCTGTGTGACCTGGGAAAAGCAAAGTCATGAGAGATGTTGCTGCTTTGTGGCTGAAAGCATGAACTGGTTGTGTTGTTCCAGGGATGAATAATTTCTTCTGGGGGAAACTTGGTCTGGTGGAAAGTGTCTCTGCCATGGCAGGGGGGTGGAACTAGAAGATCTTTAAGATCTTTTCCAAGCCAAATCCTTTTACAATCCTATGATTTTATGAACTATCAAATAGGACTCACTTTGACCGATATTCCCAGATAGTTTTGTACTAAAGCTGCATTTCTTCCAGCAGTGCCCCCAGCCAGCAGGAGCAGAGGTGGGAGAAGCTCCTGGGCCAGGCTTTATTCCCAGGCTGCTTCTCCCATGCAGGATGGGAGACACTTTAACCCTTCTGGTGCTCCAGGGATTGAATTTCCTTCCAAAACCTGAAGATTTACCAAAAGAGCCGCTTGAAGAAGTACCTGCAGGCCAGCTGAGGTGGTGGCCCTGGATGAAAATCCCTTGGAGGTGAAAATTGGAGCTCGGCACCGGCTCCTGAGCTGCTTCTCCCTCCTCTGTCAGCAGCAGCCACCTCTCATCCCTGCAGGGGAATGGCTGGGGATGGGTCAATGTTTAACCAAGCTGGGGAGGACATCTGTGAGAGCTGGCAGGGCTCACAAAGATCCCTCCCAGGTTCAGGGAGGACGGTGCATGAGGGCTTTCCCTTCTCCTCTCGCAGCCCTGGCTCTGCAGGATGGGCCTGAGCTCCTCCAAGGCGCAGCCCAAGGTGACCAGGGTGGCCCCAGGGCCCACTCTGGGTGTCCTGCCCGGGGAGCCAGGACAGCCCAGCCCACAAAGCCCGGGTGGGACACCCTGGGGAAAGCCCATCTTCCACCTGGAGCTTCCACCCCTGCGGGAGACCTGGCACGGGAGAGCCTCTGCAGGTGAGGGGTCACTGCTGGGACACTGTCAACCTGGGGCTGGGGTCTGCTGCCTGCAGTGTGGGGTGGGTGTAGGGCTGTGCTGTTCTGCATCAGCAGCTTTCTGCCATTTTTGCCATTTCCAGCATCTTTTAGCTTTGGGAAAACTCATTTTTTCCTCCTCCACCGTTTTGGAAAGCGTCTCAGTCACCAGAGGCCAGATCCCAGCTCCCTGCTCTGATCAGTCTGGAAACAGCCCAGCATCACCCTGGCACCCACCTGTGTGTGAGCCCATCACAGCCCTGTCCTGCTCACCTGCCCCTGTCAGACACATCCCTGATCAGAGTTAGGTTCTGGGCAGGGAAAATCAGCGCTGGAACCAGCAGCAGATTTCCCAAGCCAGGAGCAGAGGAAGGCAGCCTGGCTGGGTGTGCTTCCCTACAAGGAGCCTTTAAACTCCATCCATACCCAAATCCTGCCCAGAGGTTTGCATCCATCTGGAGAACATCCAGCTCCACATGGATGCTGACAAATGCTGCCCACAGCTCTTAGGGGAGTGTAGGGAGAAACATCCACAAAAACCAGTGGGTGTGAGGAAGGGTGAGGCAGAGGGAGGAGGATCTGCACCCCCAGCATCCCCCTCCCTGCTTTTCCATTCCCAAAAAGCAGTTTCTGACCCACACCAAGCAGTGTTAAGCACCACTGCTTCACCAGAGGCTGGATATTTCCTCCAGGATCATTCATCAGGTGGCATCAGGAAGCAGTGAAAGCAAATAAACCTCTGGAGTGACAGCAGTGACATTCCCAGAACTGAGGTTTTGGGGAGAATACAGATCAGGTCTGGCTGTAGAAGAGCAGGTTTTAAGTATTTCATGAGAGAAAGAACAACCAAATGTTCCTGTTCTGGAAAATTATCAATGGGCATTTAACAAATGCTTGTTAAAAAAATGTGTATTTAAAAAAAATAAAATAAATGTAATCTTCCATTACTTTCCATTTTCAGAAACAAGAAGAGTATGCTCAGGAAAGCTCAGTGAAGTATTAGCTCAAGCTGCTGTCCAAATAAGCAAAGCCTCCAAGAGAATCGGTTTTATTTGGTTTATGAGCATTCAGCTTGGCTTATTTTAAATCCAGTTACCCCAGAGGGGAGGATCTGCTGCTGTTGAAGTGCAAGGGTGGAAAACAGGAGAACAGGAGTCACAAGGATGCCTTGAGCTGGGGCTTTGCTCTGGGGGGAGCAGATTTGGGGCCAGGGAGCCCTCACCCCCCAGTTCTGTATCTGCAAATGTCCCACAAGCCACATGCATGCATGGGATGGGAGGGGAAAACTCAAAACAGCCCCAAACACACACAGCACAAACCATCAAACCTCAAAAGGGAGAAATAACTTCCTCAAGGCCGTACCCTTCACCAGGACAAGCTTCTCTTAAGCCACAGCCACTCCCTTGTGTCGTGTCCCTGTTCCCATCTCCATGGGCCACCCCCTCACCTTTTCCTTTTCCCTCTGAAATTCCCTGTGCACTCACTTGCCTGCAGACAGAGGCAATGCTCCATAACCCCCTTTTTCTCTAACAAGCTGCTATTTCACCACCAGTTCCCTGCAGATGAGGTTTGTTTCTCCTGTGCTGGAATTTTTCCCTTCAGGCTCCCGTTCCTGCGTGTGTGGAGCAGCCACAGCTTCACTCGGTGGTTAAACATTGCCAGGGCTCTGCAAAACATTTACCTCGTGGAGTTTCCCACATCCCAGCACCCTCAGGGAGGCAGAAATTCCTCCCTGTGAGGGTGGGGAGGCCCTGGCACAGAGAAGCTGTGGCTGCCCCATCCCTGGAAGTGTCCAAGTGTTCCAAGGATGGGGCTTGGAGCAACCTGGGGTAGTGGAAGTGCCCCTGCCCATGGCTGGGGGTAGAAATAAAATGATCTTTAGGGTCACTTCCAACCCAACCCATTCCATAATTCTGTGGTTGTCTTCTCTCTCTTCACCAAGAGCCCAGCCTGGTGATCTTATAAACTGACCTCCAAAATACTGCTTCTCTTGTTAAATATGGCTATTAAATTTGGCATCAGCTGTAATGTTCTTCCTGCACTTTATCCCCAAGCCTCCTCCCCTGTTAGCTGCTCAGGGCTCCCAGCCCGTGGGTGCAGGAGCTGCTCAGCCACACCTCACTTAACTCCAGGTATAAAATGTCATTTGAATGCACCAGGACAGCCTTTTGGGGTGGATGGGTGGGATAAACAGATAAACTGTTGTGTCATAGAAATACTTCCTGCACGTGCAAGTATTTATTTGTGCAAGAAAAGAACAAAAGGGGCGGTGGTGTCCACCTGAGAGCCCCAGCACAGATCAGAACTGAGCCTGGATCCCGCCCAGGCCTGAGAGAAAGCTCTGCCTTAATAACTAACAGGGCATCACTGGTGTGTGACACCTTCTTCTGGGCTGGTTTCCAGGGTCTGGGGGTGCACCACTCACCTGAGCACAGCCCTCTGACTCCTGCTGCTGCAGCCCAGCTCTGCCACACTCGGCAATTCCACAGAGGCATCGCTCAGTGCCACCAAAAAAATAACAACAACCGAGTCTCAGGGGCTGAGCAGCAGGAAAAGACCCAAACCGTGCCTGTGCCTGACTAACAGGGCAGGCAGGGGGAAGGCAGAGGAGATCAGGGATTTCTTGGCCAGCTGATGGTTACAGGGAATGGGAGGAGAAGAGTCCCTCGAGCACCCAAACCCCAGGGGCTGGGGGAGAGGCCACAGGAGACACAAGAATGGTGATGGTCATATTTAGGAGCATGAGTGGCTGTAGAGGGAAGCTGGAGTGGTGTTTGTGAGAGGTCACAGGCACAGTTACCCCCACTTTAGTTCCTGCAGCCAACAGAACGTTCCATGTGTTACTGCCATGCCCAGACAGGGGTTTCAGTGGGACATGCCAACCAAAAACCAGGGCACAAAGCTATTGCTGAGTGCACCTAAGCAGCTGATCCTCACCCAAAAGTAACTTCATCCATTTCTTTAACCTTCAAGGGCCCCTCTCTTTGAACACCTTGCCAGGAAAGGATGGAGCCAGCATCATCAAGCAGCACCCACCTCGGAGGCCTCAAGTAAGGCGCGTGTGAAGCTCCCTGGGAGCTGCCCTGACTGACCCCTCCCTCCCCATGGGCTTTTTGGGGACAGGGACACGTGTCCCAGCACCACGGTGGGGGAAGCAAATACCCTACAGCCACACAAGGGGGTGTCCTGATTTTGGGTGACCACGAGCTCGTGTGCCCCCAGCAAGGACATGGGGACACCTCTGCTGGGATGTCCCACTGCCCTCTGGGGTGTCTGGGTTCCTGCAAACCCTGCTGTGGCCACGGGGCCAGAGTGGCCAGGACAGAGCCCTTGGCAGAAAGGATCCAGCCTGTGTCGTGTGGGGCTGCTTTGGGCTCTTCAGGCCAAAGGCAGCAGCTTGGGAGAGGAGATGGAGAAGCAGACAGATGTGCTGTGCACTAGGGGATGGTGAAGGACACAGCAGTTGTTCTGGGTTTCAGGAATCTCTGTTCATGTTCTGCACCTGCCCAAACTCCCTCAGTTTCCCCATCCTGCACTTCTCAGATCCGTTCCTCCCCAAGACCCAAACCCCATGACTCTACCTGACCTAAGAGTCAAGATTTCCCTCCACACAAAGGCTACCCTTACAAAACTAAAGCTCAGAAATATCTCCAAATCATTTCTCCCCCTGTACTTGGCACTGGTGAGGCCACAGCTCGAAGCCAGTGTTCATTCATGGGCATTTCTTCCTCATATCCAACCTGAATCCACTTGGAACAACCTGGTGTAGTGAAAGATGTCTCTGCTCCTGGCAGGGGGGTTGGTCCTTAAAGTCCCTCCCAACCCAAAAATTTCAGGTTTCCATGATTCTGTGAACAAAAATCCCACTGGAACAAGGATTCTTTGCTTGAGACTTCCTTGCTGTGATTATCATCTTTTAAATATAATAAAGAAGAGCCACCAAAGGGGGTCACTTAAACCCGCTCCCCACAGGGCTGTGGCTCAGGGTGACCCTGGTGGCTTCAGAGGTGTGGAATGATGTGTCCCTGGCCTTGGTGGGATGATGCAGCAGTGGCTTCTGGATGGAGCCACCCACACCCTGAAAACTGTCATGGAATTGCAGTTTCCTTTAGAAACCTCTGACCAGCACGGAATTTTTAATTATTGATTTTATTTCCATCACGGCTGTACTTGAGTGTTTTTGAGACAGTCACTGTTAACACTCATTCCAGGACAAAGACTTTGTTAATCCTACCCTGTCCTGCTGCTGCTGCTCTTAGGGAGTGCACACAGCTCCAGCAAAAGCCTTTTTCCCTTGGGAATATTCCCAAAGGCAGTGGAGCAGGATGGCGTGGCCTTCTCAAGGACTTTTAGAGGATCTTGGTCAGAGAGTATTTCCAGGGAAAAAACTGTGATGTTCACAAAAACTAAAGGGAAAAGTCAGTTTTCCAGCCTGGGACAGAGCTTTACCCAAAGCCTGAAGCTTGGCTTCCCCAGCAGGATGGGGTGATGAGCTCAGGGATGTGGGAGGATTTTTGCCTTCATCCACCCCGTGCTGGTGGCCTTGGTGGCTTCCCAGAGTGATGCCAGCCTGGACCACAGCTTGTGGTGTCACATGCTGCCATCTAGTGCCATTTTTCAGGTTCATATTTAGCTTTGTGGGGTTTTATTTTGATGCTAAGAGACGTGCACGTGGCGTTGGGGATGGTGGAGAATTCTCCCTTTACGTGATGCCGATTTTTCCTCCTGCATTTTTACACAGATCCAAAGCTCAGGATTCAGCAGCAGTTCAGTGCAGACAGTCAGAGACATGTCCCCATTTGTTGGACACTTTTTTGTAACCAAGGAGTTAATGGTGTCCCAAATAAAGTATAAATCAGGTCTTACAAAGTCCTTGATGATGTTCCCTTTAATTTTTATGGAAGCTGTGCTGAGCTCCCCTCCTAGAAGGGAACTCTAGGTGGAGTCACCACCCCTGGAAGTGCTGAAAAATTGTGTGGATGTGTTATTTAGGGACATGGTTTAGTGATGGACCTGGCAGTGCTGGGATAATGGCTGGGCTTGATGATCTGAGGGGTATTTTCTAACCTTTGTGATCCTATGAATACCAAGCAACACCTCAGAGCTTGGCATTATTTAAGGAGGCATCTTTGCTCCTCAAGATAAAAATCCATGCTCAGGGCAGGCTGTAGAGAAAGTCTCTGCCTATTTTCACCAGCCACCAGAAAAGGAACTTTGTACCATGCAGAGTTTTGCAGAGAGAAGTCTTACTTAGGCAAATGTAAAGACTGGCTGGACAGAGGGAACGGTGCTCTAGGTCTCCTCTAATTGGGATCTGCCCTTTGATGACCTGATAGTATCCTTATGATTAAATTATGACACATCTGCACGCTCCAGCTTTGCCATGAAGCAATCTGAGCTGTGGTTTGGCTTCACTCTGGTCCTGGATGGAGCTTTGGGCACTGTTGGGGCTCAAACAGAAAAACCTGCAGGGATGGATTTGCTCTCAGACTGGGGCCTTGCTGTTTGTGCTGCAATGCAGAAGATTTCCCCAGTTTTACCCACTCCTGAAGGACAAAATGCTGCTCATTTCTCTGAGATGCCAAACTCCTCCCTGTATCCCAGGCAGCTAGGCCAGAATGGGAGCTGGGAATGTCCAGGTAGTTTCATATGTGGTTTTATGATCCTGTGGAATGAGAGATGCTAATTATAAATACTGGACTTGCAGAGGCTTGAACCTGCCATCCCTCCACAAGCCATCACTCCTGCCAAGCCCTGGAGTCAGCGAGCAGTGGCTGCAGGCCCAAAACCAAAGGTGAGCACAGGAGTTTGTGCCCTTCCACAAGCCATTCCGGGCTGCAGGCTCCTTTCCCTCACACCTGGGCCCCCTGAAGGGCAGAAGTTGGTATTGGCTGTGCTCCTGTCCCTGGCTGAGCCCAGGACACTGAGCTGAAACGTTGGTGTGAGGGTGAGAAGATCCAAAATAAGGGGAAAGCTTCCTGATCTCCAGCACGAGAGTTCCCTGGATGAGATGCACCTGCTGAGCCAGGACAGTAAGTGTTTTTGAGGCTGAAAGTATGAGAGGCACGTTTTTAAATGACTTTCTTGAGCACTCATCACTTGCAGTTGGTGGAGAGAAGGGAGAGACCTTCTCGCTCTCCCTGACAGGAGCTTGGAGCCAGGCAGGGCTCAGGCTCTGCTCCCAGGGAACAAGGGACAGGACAAGAGGAAATGGTCTCAACTTGTGCCAGGAGAAGTTTAGATTGGATTTTAAGGAAAATCCCTTCACTGAAAGCATTGTCAGGCACTGGCACAGCTGCCCAGGGCAGTGGTGGAGTCCCCATCCTTGGAAGGGTTTCAAAGCCGTGTGGATGTGGCACTTGGGGACAGTGGTGGCCTTGGCAGTGCTGGGGGAGCAGCTGGCCTCCATGATCTTAGGCACCTTTTCCACCCTTAACAACTCCATGAGTCTGATTAAAAACTGCAAACACCGTTTGCCATAAATACCTGCTGCAGCCCCAAACATGCAAAAGCCATTCTTCCCTTTGGATCGTGAGATTATCCCAGAGAACCGACCCAATGCAGTAACACCTCGGGGGGCAGGAGCACGAATACATTGCTTTAATGAGGTTTTTTTCCCCTCCTGCCCCAGAGCTGTGGGATGAACTGCAGGCACAGTGGGAATCTGTGATGAATCCCTGCGAGCTGGCTGCACAGGGAGGTGCTCGCTGCCTTTATCCGTGAGCAACTGAGGGGTTTGTGAGCTGGTGGCTCTTCCTTTCTCTTTCAGAAAGTGCAGGTGTATTTATTTCCACCCTTAAATACCTCGTAGGTGCTGGAGAAGAGGGGGCAAAGCCTGAATCCCCTCCCTGGCAGGAGGCAGCACTTGCACAAGCTTCAGATGCTGGACTTGACCCGCAAGCGACGAGAGGTAATGCCAGGATGGATTTGGGGAGGAGATGGGGGTGTCTCTCCCACGGACCAGGAGGCTTCAGACCTCTTGCTGGAGAGGTGAAAGGAATCTTTCCCTGTGTCTCAGGCAGAGGGCTGGTGGGGAGCACCCCCAGGGCTCCTGTGATCAGTAATTACCTGTGATTTTTCCAGTGCTTTGCCCTCATTTGGCCATGACTCACAGAGAAACCAAAAATCCCTGTCCCAGTCATGTTCTGTCATGCACCCAGCCTGGCAAATTCCATTTGCTTGGGTTAAACTACTCGACTGTGCAATTATTTCCAGGGCCAACCCCCTAATGCTGTACCACGTCGAGCTATTAAAAGGCGTTCGCTCCTCTGCTGCTTGTGTTGACAACTCATTTGCAAACCCAGGCGGAGCTGAAGCGGAATCTCCACAGGGAGGCGAAAATCAATAAGCAAAAAATCAAGGAATTCAGCCCCCAGGATGTCCTTGACAGTCCCCAGAGAGCTGACAGCACCAGAAGCCCAGACCCTGTCCCTGCTGAGCATAGTCAGCATTTTCATGAAGATGACCCTGGTAAGTGGAATTATTTTCCAAGGCGATGTAAAACTCACCCAAACGTCACCTGGAGAAGTTTCCCTGTGGAAGATTCTTCCAGTGCTCCACCTCCTGCAGTGATAAGAAGCAGGTTCAGGGGGAAAAAGGCTGTGTTTGTACAGCTCTCTGGGGTAAACGTGCCACTCACTGAGGCTGATCACTTTTTGGGTTTAGGGTTTTTTTCCCCACTGTCCCTACAGAAGGGGGAAGTGAATCTCAGCCACCTCTTCATCCTGGCCTGTCCAAGGCACGAGCCCTGTCCTGCTTTGCCTGCACATGGCAACCTTTGGCACAGGCTGGGAACGTGTCACCAAGGCTGAAAGTGCTTAAATCAGTGAAAAACTTGCCTGAAGGTGAACTTTCACCAGGAGGAACAAACTTGGCTTCCCATTCCCTCGTGGTTCTTCACCTCTTCCCCCTGGGGATAAAGCCACACTGTCAGACTCTAAAATTTCACCAAATATAATCCTGGGTGTGTTACACCTCACCCTGCCCCAGACGTGGGGTCTGGTCCTACAGGGAGCTCCCAGGATTTTCCTTCCGTGCCTCCAGCTGCCCTTTGCCCTTTCCAGCTCAACTCCAGCTCTCTGAGCAGCTCTACAAAACCACGGTATTTTATTCTGTTCTCTCCCCTAGGAAACACGTGGGGTGGGGAGCTCTCCAGGCAGCCTGACAGGGCTGAGCTCTCTCCAGACAGGAGGGGGAAGGCTGAGCTGTGGTTCTGCAGGGAGCCACGGACGAGGGATCTGTTCTGGGACTCCTCCAGCCCAGGCTCCGAGGAGTGCGAGAGGGAAGAGAAGACTCACCGCAAACCCACGCTCGTGAGGACCAGGACAGAGAGAGTTTCCCTCTTTGATGACTTCTTTGACAGGGATTTCTAGTGGCATGGCTTGGGATGTGCCAAAGAAACGAGGCCCAGCTCTGGAAGGGCTGGAACCCCCCCAGAGGGATGGGCTGAGGTTGGAGACAGCGCTGTGGAATTTCTGTGAGCACGGGTCGGTGGAAAGGACATCTGGAAACGAGGAGCTCACTGATGTGGGGTGAATAAAAACCCTCTGGGCTGTGTGGCTGAATCAAAATATCAGGGGAAGAAGCCTTGGATGGAGCAACAGTGAAATGGGGGTAGAGAGGAGGAGGGGGCTGGCAAAAACAAAATAAAACCAAGCAGAAGCGGGGGAAAGTTCTGGGTTAACCCCAAATATTAAATTTCAACTGAAATGAAACGTTTCACTTGCCTTTGAGTTACTCAATCTTCCTGTTTAAATTGGGGTTAACCTTTTTTAAACCACAAACCCGAGTTCAAAATGCAAGGTAAAATGATTCATTTAGAGTGTCTTTAAATTAAATTTTTTTGGCATTTATAAAATTCCTCTTTGACTTTTGTGGCTTTTTTTATTTTTTAATTTCCTCTCCCCCCACCCTGTCCTGGACACAGAAATATATGTACTTTCTTCAGAACTAATCTACAGATTTATATCTAATCTGAAAAATCTGCCTTTGGTTCAGTTTTTTTTCCCAGTTCAGGGTTCAGTGCTGGAGAGTGAATGATGGAAAGGAAGAAATCTCCATCTTTTCCTGCAGACACTCTCCCAGGGATGCTGGTCAAGGCTGCAGCACTCACCAGGAATTTGAACAAGCTGCCCTGTTGCAATCTGACATTTCCAAGTATATTGAGAAAGATGGTTATATGAAGGTGTCTGATCTATCAAAAACAATCTTTCAGTTTCCTTCTCACATAAACTATATTTTTTATCAAATGATCTCATTTTCCTTACAAAATAATTAGTTACCTGAGAGAGAACTTCACCCAATTCTCCTGTCTCCTAGCTGGTTGTCCCTGGAGCTCCATAAAGGCCACCAAGTTTTTGGATTCACTTCTATAAAAGCAGATTCCAGTTAAATATCACACAGTTATTTTAACGTGGTGAACTGGATTTGTTGGGGTCTGGTGAAACACAAGGGAGGCAGAGATTTCACCAGCAGCCCTGGCCCTGGGGAGCAGCCAGGTCTGATTGCCAGCAGCAGTTTTGCCTCTGTTTGAAGCTGCAGAGTTGACAAAGAAGAGTAGACAAACTCTTTGTTATAGATACATATATTGTTGGCTTTTTGCAAATATTAAAATGAATGTTATGTGTATAAGAATGGAAATTTTTGTTGTATTAATATAGTTTTCTTTATTTCTTTTATTGATGAAACTTAGAAATAGTGGTATAATACATATATGTTAAGCTATGACATAGCATTAAAACAAAAACTACTTTTGTCTGTATAACCCAAAGACTGAAAAAGATAGCTGGAGACACTTTCTTTTTCCTTCTGTAAACTCTCTTATCCAGATGAAGACAGCAGTGACCAGAACTCTGGGGGAGGAATTTATTGCATTTCTGGTATCAGAGAATGTAAATCTCAGTGGTGCCAAGAGGATTGATCTATTGGGAAGGGGGCAAGAGAAAACAAAACAGAAGAACACCAAAGATCCTAAGAAGAATGTATGAATATGTATGAGAATTTATGGATATGTAGTGGGGTTCTGTTTTTAAGGGACAATCCTCTGTTAGTAAGGTGTGCTCTCTTAAGGCTGAATGCAGAGACACACAGCTGTATTTGTCTACTTAATTTTTTTCTCCTAATTGTTTTTTTATTAAACTTTTAAATTATATAAAAATTATGTGAACCTTGTTTTTCACACTCTTCCTTGTGCCTCCTGCTTGGCTCCCTCCCTTCCTGCTTGTTCTTTCCAGAACTACCAGGGAACAAAACCTCTGCAGCTCAGCTCCTTGCTGCAGGGCAGGGATTCCAGCTGTAACAAACATCATCATCATCACCACAGCCACTTTCAGCTGGAAGGAAACCTGATGCTTTCATTTTTCAAGCCAGAATAAGAAGATCTAGAGTCAATTCTCAGTTACCAGGATGAGCAGGGCTTGGGCAGCTTGGGACAGATGGAGCTTGTCCTGCATCCCTGTCCCAAACCTGTGCTCCTTCCCACAGAGCTGTTGTGATGTGTCTGCACCCTCAGATTCTTGATTTACATAGCCAGAAGAGCAGGAGACACATTTTTATACTTTTTTAAGGGAATGAGACACCCATGGCTGACTCACTTTCACCAGTATTTATCTTTATTGAAAATCCCAGGCAGAGCAGGAGCTGGAAATCACAGTCCAAGCCCCAAATCAAGCTGGAGCCTCCAGCCAAGCTGCCCAGGACTGAGCTGCTCTGTCCTGATTTCTCCTCCTTTTGACATCCCTAACTGTATGACCCATTACAGAATGTCCACATGCTCCATGGGGCAAACTGCACTTTGGAGAAAACCCACACACCATGTGGGATTTCACCAGAAAAACACAAAACCAAACCCCAGCACAGGGAAGGAAGAAGAAGAAGAGGAATCATGTTAATGAGGAGAGCTGCTCATGGCTAATGAGTCTGTGTCTGGAGTCTGTTTTAAAAATGCCCTGAGAACTTTACTGATCAACACAGACATCTTGTGTGAGCTGAAAATATCGTGAGAGCTTGGAACTCAGTGTTGAGGGTGTGCTGAAAAGGTCAATGATTTAATGGGCTGGAACAATTAATCTGGCACTTGTCTATACACCTGTTCTCTTAATGATGTGACACATCTCCCTTCTGTGTTCCCATCTGTCAACAATTAAGCTATAATTGGTGGAAATGCAATTTATCTCAGACAGAGCTGATAAGTTTTCCAATAATCGTGTTGCCAGCCATGAGGGAAGAGTGCTGCCCACAGAGAAGTGCCTATGGACCACTCAATCCATATCAGAGACTGCAGAGAAGACTCTCTGAGCATTAATTTGTCAATCTGCAGCATGCAGAAGTTGCTTGTACGGAAGGGATAAAATCAGCAAACCTGCTCCCATCACAGGGGGAATGTCTTCCTCCTGGCAGTGGGCAGGGTGAGGTGGGAAACTGGGAAGAATTCCTGGCTGTGAGGGTGAGGATGCCCTGGCACAGGGTGCCCAGAGAAGCTGTGGCTGCTCCTGGATCCCTGGAAGTGTCCAAGGCCAGGTTGGATGGGGTTTGGAGCAGCCAGGGATCATGGAAGGTGTCCCTGCCCATGGCAGGGGGTAGAATGGGATGGGCTTTAGGGTCCCTTCCAACCCAAACCATTCTCTGAGTCTATGAAATTCCTCTGGTGCTCAAAACTGCTTGTCTGTGCTGTTGATTGTATTAATCCATCACAACCTGTGGAGAGGCAGGTGACATCTCATCCTCTTCTTTCCAGCATCCTTCCAGACACTGGAAATGAAAACTTTTTCTTCGTTACTAATGGTGAAACACAGACTTTTCTACAAACTGCAGAAGGTGTGGGAAGGAAAACCCCAACCAAGCTCCCAAAGTGTGTGTCCTGCACCTCAGCAGTGGAGACTTTAGAGAGAGGCTTTCAGCTTTCAGCTGGAGTCCTTTGAAGGCTGAGCCATCACAGCCAGCTCTAGAGAGGACACAGCTCTCCACTCACCACATCTGAGCACACACAGCTTCAACCCCACCCACACCCCACAGAAACCAGAGCCCCTCACCCCCCTGAGCCTCCCCAGGGATAAAAACATCTTTCTGTGGCTCTCCCACACTACCCAAAGCTTTAAGGCAAGGCTGGACCCTTCCTGCAGGGTAGAGGAGTCTCCACACAGGAGCTGTGCTGGGGCAGAAACTGCTCAGCCCAGACTGAGCACCAGAGAATTCAAATGATTGTTTTTCAACAAAACTGCAAAGAATGGAGATTTGACACAGTTAATGATGTGGGTGTGGATAGCAGCAAATGGTACAGCCCAGGAGATGTAGGTCAGATAGATCCCTGCCCCAAAGGACATTTGATCTCCCCAGGGAAATGGCTATAGGAGGTTTTTGTCAGTACAAACATGGCCAGAGCAAGCCAAGTTCTTCCAGCTCAGGATTAGCTAAACCAGTTTTGCTGAAATGTTAAATAAAAATGATAATGCTCAGCCTGAATCTGTACCAGCCTGGCAAAATCATTAGCAATTAAATGTGCAATTTATAATAGGAAATGTCAATGAACTGTACTTCTGTATTTAAAAAAGGAGCTGGGGTTGCTGTAACACCTCTGTTATTGTTCTTGAGAAAAAAAATAATTTAATTACACTTAGCAAAGAGAAGTGTTAGGTAAATAAAGCTGAACAAAGCCACACTGTAACTGGATCTCACTGACTAGTCTGGATTAATGGGATTTTCTAACCTCCCTGGGCTCAGTCCCACCTGGTGCTCGGAGTATTTGACCTCCCCAGGAATGTGAGTCTTCAGCATCATATAACATCCTCCTGCCCCGATGCACACAGGCATTCAAAAGCAGGGAAAACCCCACCACCTGAGCCACTGGGATACATCCAGCAGCCTTCTTAAAGCCTTTATGTGCCCTGCCTCCCTGGAAGGTGTGTGACAGGCGACTGGGATTGCTTCAATCTGCTTACACAAAGCTGCAGAGAAAAGCCCCCAAGAACAGCGACTTGAGCAGCTCCGTTTCAGGCTGTACACGAAGATTAAAGTCTTATCACCAGCTTGAAAAAATACCAAGCGTGGCAGGTTTTTGTTTGCCTCACCAGGTATCCTCAGACTGCTCTGTGACAGCCCCAAACCTGCTGCTTTCCCACGCCCTCACAGCCTCCAGCTTTCTTTAAATAATTCCTGAGTGAGGTCAAGCAATGGCTGAAGAGTCCTCTGATGAATGAAGAGGAAGGAGACAGCTCCTGTTTGAGCCTCTTTACCTGCTCCTGGATTCTGAGATGCCTCTCCCTGGCAGCAGTGCTGGTGCAGGGATCTGTGTCCCAGTGGGAACACAATCCCACTGATGCCCCAGGCTGCCCTCAGATCCCTCCTGCTCTTGAAAGAGCTAGCAAAAAATATTTAT